ACCTCAGGGCCCTCCCAGGGAGCCAAGGCCTGGAGAACGGGACCAGACCCCCCCCTCCCATAACCAGGCACACCACACCAGTGCCTTGGGTCCCTTCCGGAGACCCGAGGCATTGAGAAGGTGACCAGACCTCACTCCCAAATCTAGGCACACCGCCAGTGCCTCGGGGCTCCACCCAGGGGACAGGGGCACGGAGAAGGGGACCAGACCCCCCTCTCATAACCAGGCGCACCACACCAGTGCCCCGGCCTGCCTGGGGATCCGAGACACAGAAAAGAGGACCGGACTCCCCTCCCACAACCAGGCAAACCACCAGTGCCAAGGAGCTTGCCAAAAACATCACCTCCATGTGGGTGGCCCACTACAGCCACTGCAATAACCGCAGCTGCTGCAAAAGTGGCTAGATGCCACAACCACCATGCGGGTGGTCCAACAACCACTGGAGTGCATTGACACAAGGAGAGTCACCAGCAGAGACAAAGAAGAGAATGTCTCTCTCCACAAAGCCCTTTTCAGAGTGACAGAAGAAGCATCTCCTCTATGATAATATTGGGGGAAATGATCACACCTCTCAGCATTGGACAGATCATCTAGGCAACAAATCAACAGAGTAACCATTATCTTTTCACAAGGAGAGAAGAAATCTAGGGTAGAGGGGGGAAGGGGGAGGGAGAGGAGGATGGGGAGAGATTGGACAATGGGCATAAAGAATAATTATGATTTGTAACAATATAAATGCTAGTAATACTGATTTGATCAACATATCTCAATATTGAACCCCCAAAATATGTATAATCAATTTTGATTCAATAAATAAAATAAAGTTAAAAAAAAAAAAAGACGAAGAAAGGAAAGAAAGACCACAGTGGTACACTGGACTTGCAGAGGGAGAGAACATACCTAGGGATACAAAGTGGAGTAGGGAAAGGGGGATGGGAAGGGAGGTCAGGGATAATTGAGAGGATAACTGGGTGGGGGACATGGGGTATAATCACAATTTGTGGTAATGGACATGTTGCCAGTATGGATATGGCCATCACATCTTAGGCATGAATGGTGGCAATTTGCTTTGTACCCCATGAATATTCATAACCAATAAAATAAAAAAATAAACAATTGATGGCATGGGGTCTCTAGGGAGGCTTTCAGGTTGACCTTAACCTAGTCTAGCTCAGCATTTGAATCAGTAATTTGGATGAAGACAATTTATCATATTCACAGATAACGCTAAAGTTAGGATTCAAAAAGATCTACACAGCTAGGAGAGTTAAGTGAAATTAGCAAGACAGAATTAAGAGGATGAGAAATAAAGCCCTGTATTTTATAAAGAATCAACTGCACAACAATAGGATGAGGGAAACCTAGATTAAGAGTAGTTCATCTACATGAACCCAAAAGTTCTAATTTGTTGCAAGCTCAGCAAGAGGCAGCAATCTGATATGATTGTCAAAAAAGCTAATGCAGTTCTAGTCTGCATTAAGAGAAACACGATATCCAAGCAAGGTCGAGAAAGTGCCAATGTCCTCCTTACTATTAATATCTTTGGGAAGGCACTCAGTTCTGGGAATCACATTTTAAAAAGATCAATAACTCAGAACTGTGTGTGTTGGGGAGGGTTAAGAACTGGCTAGGGAATGCTCTAGAAACAAGACAAGAGCAACTGAAGGAACTGAGGATGTTTAAACTGGAGAGGAAAAAAGACCTTTCCAGGGCGAGAGGGAGTGGGGTACAGCACAACACTATCTTTAAATACGATATGCTGTCTAATAGAAAAGGGATTTGACTAGGGATGGTAAATGAGTTTCTTCTCGTGAATGAATTCTAGTTAGCTGGTAGTGACTGCCAGGAACTGGTACTGAGAACGATTCTGAGACTGAGTGTGGTCAGCAGGAAAGATGGCTGTTATCACTTATCCATGTCTGACATGGGTTTGGGGGAGTATAGTGCCTACATGAGGGCCAAGTATTTGTTAGTCTGGATTAGACGGACTTATTCCAAACTGCTCCACTGGGCAAGCCCAACACCACTCAAGGAAGGAGTTTCCTTCCACTAGAAGGAAACTATAAATGTGGAAGGGGAGTCTGGAAGACCACCAGTGCCAGACTGGGAAGGTGAAGTCAATGAACTTAGAAGGCTCTTCTAACTCCTAAGAATTTTAAGTTGCAGGCAAATGCAAGACAAAACTCATGGACCAGTTCCAAAGCCACCCACCTGTATAGCAAACCTCCTTATAGCCTCTACAGAGGAACTTCTTGAAAACTGTCCTGTGCTCCTGACAGCAGTGATTTCAGTTGTTCCATAGACCTGAGGCTGCAAGACTCAACTGGCGTGACACAGGACATGTCTATTGCAATTACGAGCAGTATGAATACTATTGATAGGTCTCTAATGTGAAATTTTCCTGTTAGTATAATAGGCAACTCCCCCACCCATAAGTGAGGTTATGCTGGCTTTTAGAGAACATTTTATCTAATTCTATTCAACTATAGGATCAAAAAAAAAAAAAAAAAAAAGGTGGGGGTGGAAGTGAGGGGATCTTCAGGCAAAGATGCTTTTTGTCTTTTTAAACAGTGGACAAGTGATTCTACTTTTCAACAGTATTTACAACATATCAACATCTTTTTAGAACACTTTTTATCATTTTACTATTCTGCTAAAAAACATAATGCTTCTCAGCTACAGGATCATGTACAGTACTAGTACTCAAAACAGATTCCCACGTTGCTCCACATGTCTTTTCTTTTTTTTTTTTTTTTTTTTGTCTTTTTCTGTGTCCGGCAACGGATCGCAACCCTCAGTGTTGCCCCCGTACCGGACCAGGGACCGGCAACGGGATCGCAAGCCTCGGTGCTGCTCCCGCGCCTCGCTCAGCCAGTGAGCGGGAGCCGGTCCGTATGTGGGATCCGAACCCTCGGGCGGGAGCGCCGCCGCGCTTCCCAAGCGGCGCACTATCCAGTGCGCCACCGGGCCGGCCCAGAATCACCCAGTGGCAATCCTTAGACTATAGGATAAGAGGAAAATTCCACTACTTCTCTACA